TTATTACTTATTTCTTCTAGCTACCTAAAGTAGTATATCTGCTCCTTAACTTGCTTATTAATCAAAAATAATTCCCCGCATTCTTCTTTCTTTCCTCTTTTAAAGATAAGTTCTATATTATTCTTATTTAGTCTTTTGGTACCTGATACACCCCTCATGAAATCTCACAGAAAGCCACTAATAGGCCTGGTTTGCATACAGTTAAGCAACCTAACCTATAGAGTCTGTTCTTTCCTTATCTACAACTGATGTTTTAGCTCTAGGATTAACTGTGCATGTCATATGTTCACCAACAACATTTACAGCAAACTCATGCAATAAAAAAAAATCACTGTGTGCTTTTCCCTTCTCTGCACCTACTCCAAGCACCTTTTCCTTTCCTCCAGTAGCTCTCTTAGGTACTGAAGATTTCTTTGTTCTTCTTCTACCTATTAATGTACTAATATAGTTATATTAAATCTTACTAGTTGCTTCTCACTGAGTGCTTTGGCACTTCTGACATGTCTATACACACGTGTGTTATTCCACCATGTTTAGTAGAGAATTTTTCCTCATTTTGACTAAGCTGGAAGAAGAGATGAAAATTTAGCTCAGCTGGTCTTTTACACTTTCTTTTCTTCACATTGGTGAAGATTGTACTATGATCTTTAGTAGATTTCTGTTGAAAACCACACAGACTTGTCTTGAACCTGTGCCCTATATATTTCTTAAAATAAAATCTCTGAATTTGTTGACATCCTACCTTCTTCAGCTTTTTTCTTTTTTCCTGGGCAGTCTGTCAATGTAATTTTTTACACAAAAATGGCAACTAAAACCCTCCATTACTATCATGTCCAGTATCTTTGGAAAAGTATCAAGAACAAATAAAGTTTTTACTGCTTCCCTGGACACAAAGAGATATTTAAAAGCTCTATCTAGTCCTATTTTTGAGATCTGAAAGCAACTGTTTTTGAAATACAAGCCAAAAGTTCCTCTCTTCTTCCCTTTTTCTACTATTGTGATATTTAGGATAAAGTACCTACAATGTCAGTTTTGTTGTAATATCCAATTAATTATCATTTTCCTCATTAACTCTTCAGTTAATTCTTCTCTGTCCCTCTTTCTTCTACCATTAGCATGCAAACAGCAAAGATACCTTGCAAACTGACCCATGACTTTCTCTAGTCACTTCCTTTATCTTGTTTTAAATAATCCCAGGGAGAAGACCTATGTTCAAATTGCCTTATTTAAGATTATGACTTTTGTTCTTGCCAAATGGTTCTCATTTTAAACTTCTCTTGGGAGAGAGGAGAGTTCCATTGAGGGTGTATCTGACTGATGCTAGACTTGGACATGAGATGAGAGAATATTATCTTGGATCTTCAACTTCTTTATTCACTGCCACAGAGCCTGATAAGAACTTTTGATTTTCCAGGATAATTCTTAGCAGTACCATTATTACTCTTTATCCTATGCTAATGAGTGGTGCAAATCTTTGGAATTTGGCAAAATTTGACTCTTTGAAGAAACACATCAGCCATAATTTAAGTGCCAGGTGTTGCAGATATTTCCACAACACCTTGAGTAGAAGATCACAGCAGCCAGCCACACCTTTTATTTCTTCTTGGTAATAGGGGGTGTTTTATTCCTTGGGCTAGTGTTTGGGGGTTTTGGCAGTTATTAAGAGTTGTTCTTACATGCTTCCTGGTCAGAACTCCTGCTTTAATTTGCCAGAGAACATCAAAAATCATCTTTTTCTCTGTAGTTTTAAGTTTGCTCCTCCAGTACCTGTACTGCTACTAAACAGAAAGCTCTGCTTTAATTTTTTTGTTCCTGAATGCATGCTGTGGATGAAGTCCTCATGAGCACACTCAATTTTGAATCTTTCATCTTACTGCTCCTCTAATTGCTTCTTAAGAGATTTCCCTGGAGATCTAAGAGAAGTCTTTCCAGACATCACCAGCAGGAAAATATAGGCCAAAGTCCTGGCAAGTCCATTCAAGAATTTCATCACAAGATTTCATCATTGTCTAATTTTAAATATAGCTGTTTCATTATGAGCATATTTCCTCTCAAATATTTTTCACTGAGAATGAGATAATATGTAGCACAAAAAGCTCTTAATGTTCATGATTGACAGAGTATTTGTGTTTGAATTTAACATATTTTTGCTATTATTAGAAGTTCATGAAAACACTGAAGAATAATATGAAGTGCAAGACTAAGCAAACACTAAAATGAAGGATTCCATAGGAAGCTACATTTACTCTTCAGTATTATCAGGATTTTTGCTACTTGATAAAAAGTTATTAGACAAGTGAAGTTCCCTTAATACAGTGCTCAATAATCTAGATGCTTGCAGTTCAACGGTAGAAGTTTCTTTGACATACACTCTCTGAACATTAAAAACATTATTTTAAAGCTTTACTGGATAAGCTTTACCCATATATTCAAGTAAAAACTAAAATACCTCATATTTATGCATAAACTGATGAAGTATTTCAAAATTACATTATCTGATACCATTCTACTTAATTTTTATTCCTAAGCATAGGCCAGATCTTTACCTTTGGCTGTGTTATGTTTAAGGTGAAGCCTGCTAGCAGTGAGAAGTAAGAACTACTTATTTCCTCCAAGATAACCTATTACTTGGTTATTATTGAGACAATAAAAAATAATATACTTGAAGTATAGTATGTTTGATGCACGTAATGCATTTGATTCAATAATAGTTCCCTTTGCTTTTCTGCCTAAATTGTGTTTGACTGAATCTGGAAATGGTCAAAAGGAATGAAAAGTGGAAGCTGCATGTGAAGCTGCATGTGAAGCTGCATATATTCAGGCCTATAGGAGAAAGATATGTCTTTATTGAAAGCTGCATGTAAAGCACAGCTGGTAAAATTTAAGGAAACAGCTGTATTTTGATTGATCATAGCTTGATGTCTTAGTTAAGAGCAAAGTCAAACTATTATCCTAAACTAGCTAAAGACTGTTAAGGAGTTGACAGGAAAGAAAAAAAATGTTGGTGTTCAGAAAGCTGCACACTGAATAGAAAGTAAGTTGGAACTCAATGTCCACTCTGGGAAAAGAAGCAAAGAAAAGACTAGGCCTCCTATCACCTGCAAGAGTTGAAACACCAAATGTCGTATTTCCATCAAGAAAAATAAGGTATGCAGTAGAAACACAAAATGACTGATGACAAGAGTTGTGAAGTATTTTTGATCCTAAAAAAAGTAGAAAATGAAAAGCAGTGGTCAGTCATAGGAACAGAGTAGTATTTACACATCACTAAGTCATGGAAATTGTCAAGCATATACTGTTGCTATTGTCTCTGTTTCATAGCTCTTACTTGCTCTGCAGCTTCTTACCCTACACCAAATTTTGCCTTTGGTGCCTTTGTGCTACTGTGGGAAGCTGACCCTGGCTGGATGCCAGATGTTCAGCAAGCCACTCCATCACTGCCCTCCTCAGCAGGACAGGGCAGGGGAGAAAATAGGATGTGAAAAAAAAGCCTCTTGGGTCAAGATAAAGGCAGTTTAATACAGCAAAAGAAAATGCCTGTGCAAAATCAAAGGAAAACAAAAGGTTTATTTTCTACTTCCTATCAGCTGGTGATATGCAGCCTCCCCCTCCTTTTTCTTAGCTTTTATTGCTGAACAGCCCTGTGTGGTATGGAGTATTCCTTGCAGCTTGAGCCAGCTATCCTGGGTATGTCCCCACCCAAGATCTTGCCCACCCTCCACCCACTGGTAAAGGGGGAATGTTGGAGAGCTTGGGTGCTGAGTGAGCACAGGGTGTTTGACAGGTGAACATCTTTCTAGCTACCAATGCAAAGAACTATGAAGACTGCTGTGGGAGATAATTCCATCTCCAGCAGACCTGGTACAACTACCACAATAACATCTAAGAAACAGAAAATCCTGAATTATTTATAATATCTTCAGAAATTATTCACTATCTCCTAATGTAGAGCTTGTCTACGAACAGTTCTGTTTTCCAATGCTGCAAGTTGCAGAAAGACCAGTTACCAGAACAACATGCCTAGCACTTTTTGTGATATTTCCCCTTACTCTTTTTAGAAAAAAAAATAAGCTGAGTCTGCTTGTTTTATCTGCAATTATATTTGCATACAAATCAGTTATTTTCTCTCTATCCCAGATCCCTTTTCACTGCAAGCTACTGTTAAAATAGCTGTGCCAATTATATTTAATTGATAAGACAGTTTCATCCTGTATATATATGTAATAAAACGGACAGTTGTTCAAATATATCATTTTCCAAATTTTAAGTGATAAGGTACATAACATCCTGCCCTATATATAAACCCAATGCAATTTTTAGCAGGAATGTACCAGTACAGGTGAGTTAAAACAGCTTTGCCTCAGAACTAAATTATTTGGACATGCAAGTCAGTTTTCCCTCCATGACTTAAGCAGGAGACATAATAAAATGCTTTAAAAATTTTTATCAGCACAGTTGCACAGGTTTATGCTGACAGACCAACAGGCTAGGCATGACACAGGGTTCTTAGAATTCTCCATGGTAGGGGAAGTTTTCAAATTTTCCCATCATTGCTAACACCAGTCACTGTCTGTCAGCAACATTTTCAGCCCTGTGCCAAATATTTCTTCGAGGCAGCATTATATAATACTTTAAAAAGTGTCAGCAGTTATTGGATTATATATACTCAGAGTTCCATCATTCCAAACAAATCGTCATCTGGAAAAGACTGTAAAATACCCCCCTTGAAGAAAGGCTTCAACACAAAGACATTAATGAAGTATTTTTTTCTGGTAAGATTTCAAAACAACATTAATGACTCCAAGATGCTATTTAAAGCAACAGCTCCAGGACACTGGGCCTAATGCATCTCTAACAGTAAACAACATAGATTCTGTTCATGGTTATTCAAATATCTACAAATTATTTCAGCACAGTGGGTTACTTAGCAATTTCTTATCCACAGTTTCCTTATGGACAATTAAATAAAAATTAAACAATAGTTGGTTGTTTTTCCTTACTTGTAGCGTGATCTTTCATCTCACCCAGTCCAGTATTAATTCCAGCATCTATTGAACTCATGATTTTATCAATCTACAAAAGAGACAACAGTGAAACAATTGAGGGATCCCATCTTCAGATTATTTTATAATCTATAAACTATTATAACTATTTTATTTTAGTTTTTCATGCATAGCTTTATGGCATTATTACCCTCATTAGTAAAACAACAATCAAAATTGTAAAAACACATAAATCAAAGGTAGACAATTAATTTCTCCACTTTGATTTTTATTTACAATATTTGCATGCCAGCAAAAACTAAAGCTAGTATTTCTTTTTCCATGGCAGAGTTCCTTACATGCTGATGGCTCTGTTCATCTAGCTATAACCACTAGTGGTTATAATAGGTTAAACTAGTGGTTTGTATAAGCATTAATATTAATGAATAAAATATATTACCTTGTATGTTCTAAAGTATTTTAAATACACACAATGAAATAAATTGTTCAATAAATATTTCCAGAGAATTCCTAGCCCTCTTTTTTTTCCTACCTGCCCCAAGGGGACTAAATAGGTATGAAACAGTGGTGTCCTCACATAAGACAGAACAACATTCTCTGTGAAAAAACACTGCACTTATCCCAAAACTTACACACATTTCTGAGGCACATTGAACTTACTAGGTCAAAACCACTGTATCTATTTTATTTTCTGTAACAACAGGACAAACCAAAACATGAATCAAAAGGTTGCTGTGGACTAAGAAGGTAGACAAAGAGAAACACACTTTACTAAGCTCAATATTAGAACTAGTAGGAAAAGTATGTATTAGCCACTGGTGACAGGAGAAAGTCTAGAAATTATGACAGAATCTGCAGATTGAGCAGTCATATATATATATATATATTTCACTTCTTTTACTCTTAAGATCAAACCTTGATGTAAAAAGGCAAACCTGGACCTGACTCTAATCAGGATTTTATTATAGTATATCCAAGCTGTAAAGATTAAAACCTGAGTAAAAAAAATTTAGTTCATCTCCACTGAGAGAGTATCTCCTCTACAATGAAAAGTGCCTTAAAATGCCCTATCAAATCAGACATTTAGGCTAGCTTGAAACATTTTCCTAGAAAAATAACCAACCACATAATCAAACTCTGGGTTCTTTTTGAACATAATAGCACCCTGGAGATGGATGTATTTCCGCACTGTGGTAGTTTTAAAGAGAAAAGCTCACTTCTCTGTAGGAGCAGTAAAGATCTAAACATTTCACACTTTTAATTTACCTCAATGAGATGGGTACTTCTGTGTCTATGAAGAATCATTTACATTCTTAAAATTCAGCACAGGAAAAAAAAAGTTAAACATAGGGTGTCTAAAATTTAATTTAAATTGAATTCTAAACCTAAAATAAAGTCTCTCATATGAGCAAGCATGTGCACTACAAATTCAGTGTGGACATTTCTGTTAGTAGTCCTGAATTCATTGCAGCTAGGAGTATTCCCACTTCACACAGCAGCCAGGTATGTGCCAAGCATTTTGTACACAGGCTACATACTAGTTAGAGGATAAGACGCATAAGGAGGGTTTGTAGAATGCCCAATGAATTCTCTATTGTTGCCATTTTCTCCTGGCTCTTGCTGATGTGGCACTGCCATGGTGGAAATAATTAGCAAATATGTAAACAACAGGCACAGTTACTAAGGATTTTATTAATGTTATTATTGTCAGCGGTGAGGGCTTTAGTAGACAATAATTTCAGTGCCACAAAAAATTGCAGAATTACTTCTGGTTAACTTCATTCACTAGGGAAACAATAGACTTTATTGAGTGGGCAGCGTTTGAACAGAAATGCTTTGCATTTTGTGCCAGCTGTTGAACTCCCTTGCAATACAATGTGACATTCTCTCTGAGACTTTGAAGTGTGGAACAGTCACTTTTTATTTTGTCTTCAAAACTGAAAACCATAACAGTGTCTTCACAAGACCACAGTACTTAAAAATTGAAAAAAAAACTTACTTCTTCCCATTCTGATGTGAAGGAAGGTGTTCTCTCCGAATTCCCTTTGGAGCACTGTGGCTTTGGTGTGGGTTCACTCCAATTGCTTCTCGCTTTTTTATCATTTGGTGGATGGGTGATAAGATTAGAATCTGACTTTGAAACATTTTTGCACAAGTGCATTTCCAGCAAGGTCTTTGGTAAGGATCGTATTCTGCCCAGCGTGCACGCTCGCTCCACAAATCCCCCAGTGGTAATAACCCATTGTTCACTTATCCTTGGCGCACCAACCAGGGTATGATTTTCTGCTGGTTTATTTTTAGTATGAAATATGGTTCTGTTTACAATTGGTGGCTTTTTTTTCTTAACAGGAGGATCAGAGCTGCTTTCTTTCCGTAGCTGTATCTGCTGCGCTGCGCTCTTGCTCAAAATGCTTTTCTCCAGTGGCCCGCTGCACAAGTTTACTTTGCTGTACAGCTGGAGAGGATTTTCAGGTGGGTCACATGCAGGTGATGATCCATGAAGTAAACCTGCAAACTGCTCAGCGGGGTGTCCTTCAGGAAGCTCACTTTCAGTGGATGCTTCACCCTGGCTACATTGCTCTGAAATGAGAGAGTACCTTGTAAACATAAAAGGGAGATAAAGTAGTTCAAACAACAAAACGCTTACTCCCCTCAAAATCAGTTTTTAATGCTGCACTCTTATGTAAAGAAACATGACAATTACTCCATGAACTGAATTATTATTTTCTTAAAAAAAAAAAAATCTTAAATGTGTTTATTTTATCCTAAAATATCTGCTAGTTGAAGAACAGCCAACAATGCTCAGTGCTATATATAAATTCCATGAAAAAACAACTTTATAAGATAAAATAGGACAGTGCTATTCCATCAAATTGATGATGTCTCTTTTAATTTGTTATTGAGTTGAAATGAGCACAAATTACACAGTTTAGTATGATGAATTAGGTAGTTAGTTTGTAGGTGGTAAAATACATGAAGAACCATTATTGTCAGGAGTATTCTTAGTAATTTTTCTTTTTATAGGCATTATAATAATAGTGAATTTACACTCTGATGCCTTTTTACTGACAGTCTCTAAGGAATAGATCTGAGTGTTGCTTTTATTTTTGGGAACTTTTGAGAATAGTAATAGTAACCATTGGTAAAAGAGGGCACAAAATCAAGTCTTTTCAAACATGCTTTATATGTAACTTAGTACATACGCACACACACAAAAAGAAACCACATAAAAATGCACTTCTTTGGCAAGGTTTAGAGTGGATTTTTAAAATTTTATAGCTCTTTTTTACACTTGTTGCTGAAAGAACTAGGAGGGTAAAAAATAAGGAGGCTTGCACTGCCTCACTCTAAGTGTTAGTGTGGTTAACATCCCTCTATCAACATGGCATTAAGTCAGAATGTTCTAGTCAGAATAACTGTGTCCCTGCTGATGGTCACATCTCAATAACTACTTCATTAAAAAGAAATAAATTTATAACAATTAATAATTATTAATAAATAAATTAATCTCATTTTTTTTAAGAAGTTGTATGTTCTAGATTGACTCTAACTGTAGGACTGTGTGCACAGCAGTAGCTACCACAAGGAATCAAGCATAGCATCATGTACAAAGATATTGAGCAGTTTTCTCCAATTAACTAAAATATCTGCTGGCAAAAAAAAGCCTCAATCAAATCTCAAAATATCCTTTCTAAAAGAAAACAGTGCTTGACTTTATGAATGACAGAAGAAAGATTTTGGTGTGTACTTCAAAACTTCATCAACTCTTTTACTAGTCAGCAGCTTAAAAATATAAAATTAAATGTTTTTCTATATATGATAAAATTCTAAGAACCTATGAACATATATTTTTCTTCTTTGAGAAACAACCAACTAGAATATACACTTCAGACATTTTGCAACCAAAAAGATGTGAGGTGTTATGGAGAAAGGTTAAATGTAGGATATGACAGAGCCTAAGGGATCAATAAACCCAGAAAAAATTGGTTTAGGGCAAAAATTCAGGGGAAAAGGGGGACATGGGGCATTCTCTCCTTGATTTCTGAAAGTTGCTGATTTATACATACGTATGCAACTTTGAAGGTGAAATCAAAATGAGGAATAAATTATGCAAATAATCACTGACTTGGGTGTTTTTCCTTTACATGAAAAGCTCAGTAGCTGAGATTCTGCTCCAGATTAAGACACTTCATTTTTCTACATGGGTAAGAAGCATGTTAGCTCCCACCATAGTCAGAGATCAGATTAATAAAATGAGTGGAACCTCTCACTCCCTGCACTCTGTTCACTGGCTTAACTACACTGCCAGTGACTTATGGGAAACAGCATTCAGCTTGTGTTCAGATACCTACATTTATATATCTTAGTCATGAATCCTATTTTGATGTTCCAGACAGGTATCTTATAGCTGTGTATTGAACTCATTGAGGAGACAAATATTTTTATCAGGACAAAGTAAAGCAGGAGGAATAAATCAGGAAAAGGAAAAGCTTACAGAGACAGGATTGCAAGAATTTCACTACTAACTTTGCTACATCTATGTTACAAAATAGTACTGGCCAACAGCTATTAGGATCTGGAGGAATTACTAGGCTCATGTCCTTTAAGTTACACTCACCTTCTCAAGACAGAGCTGGTCCACTCAAATAACTACTGGGAATGGTCTCAGGTCTCAGCTAAAACTTGCATTGTGCCTGGGCACCTTCTAGGTGAGTCTGTTCAGTATTGGCCAAAGACTGGCAAAACCCAAACAGTTTAAGAGTACAGACCGCCAGTGGCATCTCATGCCCTGATTTTGCTCAGTTTACTGCTGTAAACGAAGTTCTTACTGAGAACTCCTATTCCTCCGTGGTCAGTAAATATATGTACTGACCACTAGAAAGTGTGTGTATCTCTTACTTTCCAGCAGTGTTGCAGTGACAGCATATCAAAACATTAATTCTGGATGTTTTGATAGTCAATGTGGCAGCAGTTTACCATGTATCCAAAGATTTCAAATATATTGTATGAGCCTTTTGCAGCTTGATCTTTCACAACTGTTACTGTACTGTGCGCACATAAGTATATATATTCTACTTTAGGCATAACTTTCATCTTTAAAATACCCACACAAATACTTCAAGAAAGTCAGAAAAAATTAAAACAGAAGTTGCTTGTGCACCCATTAGTCTTCTATAAGATCACTACTAGTTTTCAAACATAAATACCCTGTCTATTTCACTTAGTGTTCAGAATGAAGTTTGCTTAATGAAGAAGCAGCTCCTCAACATTTTCATAGTATCATAGAACTGTTCAGTTTGGAAAAGGCCTCTAAGATCATCAAGTCCAACTGTTAAACCAGCACTGCCAAGTCCGCCACCACCACCAATCCATGTCTCTAAGTGTCATATCTTCACATCTTTTAAATATCTCCAGGGATTTATATTCTCTTTGTTCAATAAGAGTGGTCTTATTACCTATTTACTGCACAGTATCTAATTTGTTTTTGAATATCAAGTTCTTTAACAGCTTCTCAAATTTTTATGACTCCATTATCTAAGGGGATCACAAATATGAACTCATGTATCCTTCTAAGGTGAGATTGTAATGTGATATTATAGTAATTTGAAAAATGTAAGACACAAGGATATAATGCTGAAAATGTACAAATGTTTGGGCATCTGATTTGAGATTCCTCAAGATTTTCTTTATTCAGAGTATTAAACACTTTTCAACAGACAATAATTTCATAGGATGGTTATTATTTATTTCAGTAGATCAAAAGAATCAGACCCCTAATGTCAAATTTGTCACTCAAAAGCCAAGGAACACAGCTGATGGCTGCTTGGATAACCTTTAGGTAATGGCTGCTTGGGTAACCTTTGGTCTATCTTGACCAGAGTAACAAAAGCTCTGGCAGAGACAGTGTATTCTGTTGCCTTCAGCTGCCTCAGCTGACACTTCTTTGATACATTTTGCTTTCAATAAGAGCTTTGTTAATTATGTGACAAAGTAAGCAAAGATCTCATAGCTATACCTTCTTCACCCCATGATTTTGAGCAATGCAAACCACATCTATACCAGGAAATGAAAAAGACTGGGGCTGTCAGGAAAAAAAATAATCCATGTGGTGATGATGAAGGTTGTGAAGCAAGCAGCATTGCAAGCTGCACTGCAGCCCTAAAACAGATTATCCAGTGGTGCCATCTGCACCCTTGCACAGTTTCAAGACCTGCTTAGGAAAAGACATGTCTGATCTTATGATGACAGTCCTGCTCCAAACAGGAGGATGGACTAGAAATCCTCCAGACATCCAACAGTTTAATGAAACAATTATATTTCTGAATCTTCTGGCTTTTGAATTGATAACTGTTAAGGTTAATGTTCTTTGAATATTGACTTGTATTATTATTTTAGTTTCTTAATGTAGTTAATGTTCAATATTTTTATGTTCAGCAAATAAGGAGAGTACAGAGATGGACTATAATTCTGCTCTAAATAGTATAGTAGCCTAGCACTCACTCTCATATTCTGAAGAAATTATAGAAGGAAAAAAACATAAACCATATAACAGATAATCATAAAATAATTTCCTTGAGTACACTTTTCTTTCTCATTCCAAATCAGTATTTGTTAACCTAAGACCTGAAATATGAGATGTTAAAAACCTCTTCAAACCACACCATTATCTAAAAATACAGATTCATTGTTCATGGGAATATCCAAAAACTCCATCTCAAGAACTTAAATAGTGAAAAGCTTTATGCAGGCTAATACCACTACCATACCGTTGCTAAAACAGGCAACTTTATTTGAAAAAAAAAAAAATAAATTTTTTTTTAAATAAGCTTTCAATAATTACCCATCTCTGAGACAGATTTTTTTTTTTTAATTTTTGCATATTTAGAAAATGATACTGAAATCAATATTTCTCCTAAAGCTCAGTAGTAATGCACAAAATGTTATATTTTACATATTATTTTCTGCTTTTAAACATTAAAAAAATTCTTATTTTGAATATTGCTGTGCATTGAAAAAAACCCATATTATTAAACCTTTTATTAATTCATATATTTATTTCTTCTTATTATTATTTCAACCAACTTAACTGGCACTAAGAATTTATGTAAACAATTACATTACATAGGTCTATACTCAGTGAACAGTCATTTAATAATGCCAGGTTTTTCTGTTCACAGGCCTTTGAGTAAGCTTTATGAGAAGCAACTTTAAGAGAGAGGGTGGGGATATAAGGGAACAGGAGAAGTTCAGGATCTTGGACTCAATCCCAGTGGAGAGAAGCATTCAGCTTATAATTATTTTTTTTTTTCCATTTTGCAAGTACATTTATTTTTGTAATAAAAAAAAGCCAATAGAAAGAGATCTTGCTTCCTTACCAGATACTGCTTTTCTTACCACTTTATCTTTTTACTTGTAAATAGTATCATAAATACCAAAACATAAACAGATGTCATTTCTACAGAACTTTAGTGTTATTACAAGTGCACGTACAGCTTATCCATCTGAGTGGATTACTTCTGAAAATCACTGTGATACTGCCATATCTGTGTTGCAAGGAAAACATTTACATTTGGAACTAC